GCAGCCAGGCTTCCTTGACATGTCGTCGTGAGTCCACCGGCTTCGTAAAGCGAGTATTGTTGTCGATGCAATAATTTGGATAGTTAGCAGCTAGGAACCACTGCAATCACAGGCAAACTCATACGACCACGAACGAAATCAAACGGCAGCAATCACTTGCCACTGCGCAGAGTCTTCAACTGATTCATGAGGTGGTCAAGACTGGTCTGATTGCCACCGCCCGCGGGACCGCTGGCACTCGCTGTGCCAGTGCGTTGCTTCTTTTTTTTCGGCTCGCTGCCGCTTCCGCCCTGGCTCTCATTGGCATTGGCATTGGAGCCTCCTGCATCCGCCGATCCCGGAGTCTGAGTCTCAACCTGACCCTCTGGCCCCCCGCCGTGCAAGACATCCACCTCCTCCTGGTTGTTGCCACCGGTGCCGGTGCCTTCCTGCTGATTCTGACCCCGGCCACGTCCCTTTCCCCTGCCACGTCCTCTGCCTTTGGCATTGTCAGTGCCACCAGGATTCAGCAGAGCAGCCAGCTTAGGCTCATACAACGGAGAGGACTCCTCGGACATGGCACGGAAAGTCATGTCCGCGATGTGCTTGTAGCCTTCCGTGAGGTGCTTTTCACTGAACATCACACCGAGGTACGGCAACTTGAGTTCGATTGCCACGAACGCTGCCGCCAAGTCACCCGCGGTGAGGTCCACGATGCACTTGGGGTTCCAGGTCCTCATCATGTCCTTGTAGTAGTCGCATGGAAGTCCATGAAAGCTGAAAGGCTCATACTCCCCGTCACAGCTTTCAGCGGCCCCGTGCTGCTTCTTGTACTTGAGCTCGCTGTTCTTGAACATGGGGCGTGGGGTCGAATCAGCACCGTCCGTCGTCCCACCAACGGCCACTCGGAAGCTCCCCAGCATTTTCTTCTTCTCCTCAAAGGTTGTTTGCCAAGTGCAATCCTGGAAACTCTCAAGCTGGATGGGGCCGACGAGATTCCCAGCGGTGCTGCCGCCATAGATCGGGTGCTTCGCTTCGGCCAGCTCCAAATTGCTTTTCGTGAAGATGTACAGGATCTCCACCTGTCCCACAGTGTTTGTGTGTGGACTCTCTGTGTCTGTCTTGATCTTCGTCTGTCTGTCTGTCTGTCTATCTCTCTCTCTCTCTCTCTCTCTCTCTCTCTCTCTCTCGCTCGCTCGAAGCCTGGTGAAGGCTCCCCAGGCCACGAACCACTCCACGTCGTGCTCGGAGACTTTCCTCGGTGTAGATCAAGAAGATATTCCGCTTGTCGTGGGCAATACGCTTGCCCTCGTTCGTGCAGAGCAAACTGCTGATGGCCCTCTCGTTACCTTGAGATATGCTAAACGTCGGAAAAAACCAGCAAAGGCAAACCCTAAACCGTAAACCCTTAACCTTAAACGTGAAACATGATCTGTCTGGAGTCTAGAGGCCCATTTTGCCAGCATCGTACACGAAGAAGACATCTCCTTCGTGCATCTCCTCACTCCTTCCCCGCGATGCCATCACAGCTCTCAGACCTTTTTGGGCGTGCTCCTTGCGAAAGGACGGCGGTCTGAGATGCGGAGCCGTCACCGATTCGCCGCTTTTCTTGATGTCGTAGAGGCACAGGATTTTCTTCTGGCTGTCACCGCGAAGCTGCCCAATTGAAGTATCAGCTATAGCTGTGGCGAAGGCCTCGTCGGAGCTCGGCTCGACGATGAGCTTGATGCGGGTCTTGACTTCGTGCATGGCCATGGCTCGGTACTTCAAGATCTTATCCTCATCGCTATCAAGATCGTCCAGGCTGGCAGACAAGATGTGTTCGGGGATGTCCGTCGCATCCTTGAAAGCTTGAGCGGGTGCTGCCGGAGCAGTTCCCGGCAATTCCTGCCCGCTGGCCTTGCGATCTTTCTCGATGGCACTCTTGAGTTCCTGCAACCACGACTGTTGACTGGACAAAACCACTACAATGAAGCAAGACGACTCAAGAGGAGATCCTGCACCAAAGTCTCAAAGGCGCCGTAGCTCAGCACCTCCGTCGCACTTTTGCGGTTCTTGAGCGCTTGCTTCAAGACGGAGTCGTGTGTCTTGTTGTAGACGACGGCCTATCTCGGTTTAGGGCTTAGGGTCATTGTGAGGTCTAGGGCTCAGGGTGGGATGACCATACTTGCTGCCTCTATGAACAGCATGACCTCCCGGCAGCCCTCAGCCCAGGCCGAGTACCAGGTAAGGTCCGTAGCCTCGGCATCGCGAGGCCATCCGAAGTAATTGTGGTGGCAGGAGTGGCTCGCCAAACGTTTCCGAATTTCTCTTCTGATGTCATGGTCATCCACCAATTCATCGAGGAAGCCACCGAGCAAGTGCTCGGAGATGTCTTTCTTGTACATGAAAAGGTCGACTGTACCCTTAGTGCCGCCAGCAGGGTTGATCTGCCGAGTGGTGAGCTCCCCCTTGACCAAGTAGCCACACTCAAAGTACTGGTCAATGCATCCGACCACCCACTGCAGCATCTCCTGCAGCCATGCGAAGGGATGAAGGGCAACATGACCGAAGACACTGCAAGCTGGGGCACTCAAGTGTCCAGTCCTCGGTGCGTGTTTTGGAAACCAGCCCCTGCATGGCCACGATGCCGTTCAGGGGAGCGTCGTGACCATAGTCGTGGTCCATCTTCAGCATCAGGGCGGCCACGCTGGGGACCTTGATCATTCTGTCCCAGACAGTCAAGGCCTGATCAATCCAGCTCGCTGTGATTTTTTCGGAATCTTCCGACGTCGCACGCTCCTCATAGGGATCATGAGAATTCATGAGGTTTCTTAGGCTATAGTCGCTTCAGACCTGCTACACTACTCTATCAGCTGAAATCGCTCCTGGTTAAACATCTCCGCAATCTTCTCGGCAGCAAGGCTGCCCAGCTGCTCTTCTTTCTTCTCACGCCACAAGTTCAGATGGTACACCTTCTGAAGACAAGTCCAAGCATGACCGTGGTAGTCTGTGACCGCATTCTCACGCAGAGTGTCTGCCCTGGCGGACAGTGCATCCCCATTCGGGAGCAGCTCAAAAATGAACATGGTCGTAAGAATCAGCCGGCGCCAGGTTTCCAACTTCTCGTCGGTGAGACCCTCATGAATGAGCTCCGCGATGCGGAGAATCAGGGCATGCCGTGTTTCCGGCGGGCTGCAAGCTTGCATGCTTCCTTTCTCTGCCATCATGGTTCCGGATCGAAGTTGCTCCGGACTCACAGCAACGACGATGTTGTGAGGAAATCGGCTGGGGGCGACTGTGTCGCCAAAGTAATATGCTTTGACTTTCTCCACAGACTTGACATTCAGGGGCACGCCTGGGCTGCTGGAAAAGGTCGGAGACAGCCACGCTAGGTTGCCGCCACAAGCATACTGCTTCGTCTCTTGCAGGGCCAACACAAACTCCCCATCATTGTAAGGGCTTTGGAAGCCTTTCTGGCCTTCTTGGATTACCAGCGGTGCCTTCGCCACGAGGCCCTCGAAAATCTCATGACCCAAGATAGTATTCCAGGCACTCTGGACTTGATCAAGAAAAGGCAAATTCGCCGGATGGGGAGCGGCCAAGTCCACCCGAAGAAGGGCCT